CCCCCCCAAGACCCCAAATGTACAATACTCAGAAACGTCGCATATCCTTCCTCCCGTCCTTCGGTCACAACGCCGTCCGCGTCACACTCTCATACCTGGGCGGAGGGGCGGCCGCATCCACCCGAGAGAGGGACAGCCAATGCAGCGGACCAGACACGCCCCGGGCTTGATCCCTTCGTTGGCACTTGGCAACCGTTGATATTTGAATTTCACCTGGTGGGCGAAGGGAGGGGCGTAAGGCGGATTCATCAGGGCCCACAGTGAGCCGACGCTCCACCGCCAAGAGTATGCACAGCCCTGCCCCCCGCTCCTCTCCGCCCCCTTCTTCCCTTCTCGTCTTTCCCTTCTCGTCTTTCCCTTCTCGTCTTTCCCTTCTCGTCTTTTCGCTTCTTCTGGCGCGTTGCCGAACCCACGCGTACTGAGGACGCGCAAAAGAGATCACACATCTCGCCACGCGCGCACATACACACTCTCCCTAACCGCACGCACGCACGCACGCACGCACGCACGCACGCACACAGGCGCACGCGTTTGGGCGTCCCTCTCTTCCTCCCCGCCCAGATGTCGTACTTTGGCGATGAGGCGGTCAAGCTCGTGCGCGAGATGCATCGCGTGACGACGCTGATGGCCTCGCACTCGCATGCCAGCTCCTCCACTCTGGAAACCATTTTGCCGGCGTACAATGAAGCTGGCATCCGAGCCGTACTCATGGAGTGCCGCTCATTGGCCAGTATGATCGAGGCAGACCTGGTTCGCGTGCATGAGCTCAAGCAGCAGGCCGCGGCTGGGATATTTTCCGGTGCCGAGTCGGCCATGGACTCGGCCTCGCCGTCGGTCACTGGGGTGTCACAGCGGAGCGCCCACTCGGCGACCTCCCTCCGGTCGGGGACAACCGCCTCCGGCTACCAGGGCGATGTCAGCCAAGGCAATGTCACTCACTCGGACATGCGATCGGAGTCCGAGCCACTTGCAGCACCCTCCCAAGTCAGCGTGGCTGATAGTCAGACCCACATGTCGACCACCGAGACCCAAACTACCATGAGCCCTCACACGACGACTGCGACCACCATCAGAAGTACCGCGTCCATCACTCCCAGCACCACCTCCGGCATTATTCCGGAGCACGTGGAACCCGGTGATAGTGATGAGGAAACCGCGGTCGAGCGCCTTCCCCGGTCGCGACATGAGTCAGCCGTGTCGGCATACGACATCCGTCGAGTGGCCTACGTGCTGACCATCTTCCGAAACAAGCGCTGCCTGGCGGCATACGTCCGCAGCCGAGCGTCGCTGCTCCTGCGAGCATGCTGGCAGATGGGCGGCCGGCCGAACCCCCCGCCGGCCCTGGCCGCTCGACTGAGTCGCACCGAGCTCGACCTTTGGCGGCAATATGCCTCCCTACTTGCGGACATGCGCACCGGCGGCCTGGTTGTGCTGGATGAAGACTTGGAGGCGGCCGCCGCCGAGAGTGATTTGGGCGGGCTATATGGCACGATTGGCGCTGCGCGCTCGGCTCCGGGTGGCGGCCAGCTTGATGAGTATGACACCGGCTGGCTGGACCTGGATCTCATGGCACACGAGGCCCCACCTCAGGGGCTCTTTGTGGAAGTTCGTGTCCTGCGCGATTGTGGATCGATCCAGACCGAGGATGGCGTGGTCCACCTGACGGAGTACGTGCAGCTCCCCGGCAAGCCAGCCTCCCTGGCCATCGCCTCCTTTTCCGCCGCGCCCTCCCTTCGGATTCATTGACCCCCTGCGCCCGGCCGCCCGTGGTGCTTGCTTTCACACGCACTGGCAACCACACCACAGGAACAGCAATCACTTCCTCCCCCGATCGGCCGTGGAGCATCTCATCAGCCAGGGCTACCTGCAGCACATTGCTTGAGATAAACGGGGGAAAAAACAAAAAGAAACACACAGGGGCGCCACAATTCGAGGCCCACCCTTTCCAGCAATACAATAGACCAATACCAGAACCGAAACAGTACATCACGTGGACACTTGGCTCAGCCCCGCCCGTGTCTCGCGTCCGGCGCCCGGTGTGTCCTTCGCCATCCTTGAGGGTCCGAGGGGGGGGAGGGGGGGTACAACGGTGGCCAGTCGAGCGCCTGACAGGTGCAGTGTCTGCGCGACCCCAAGTGGTACTTGGCCAGCCTGGCGCCCGCCCCCCGTCGCTGACGCTGGTGTGATTGCGCAGTCTCGAGGTGGGGTCTCCATGAGCTGGCCGCGAGGGGCGGCTTGCTGGAATAATCGGCAGTCGGCCCGCTAGCGTGTCAATCGCCGGACATCCCCTGCGTCGGGGGGACGAAACGATGTTCGATGCTCCCCCCCCCCCCTCCCCCACGGCTCTCGCCCTCGGCCTTCGACGGCCGCGGCTCCTCAAAGACGGGCGCCAGCCTGTGCACCGAGGTCGATTCTTCTAGTCAGCCGGCGGAGAGCGAGAGAGAGAGAGAGAGAGAGAGAGAGAGAGAGAGACACCCACACCCCGGGCGTGGATGGACACACAGAGTCGCTGAGGACGAGCGGCTAGACGGGCCCTCTCCCTGCCCCGGACCCCGGAGGGAAGGAAGCCCAGGGCCCCTTTCGACCTCAAAGAGACCCCCCGCTGCGACTGGCGCTCATCCCCCCCTTGAGACAGAGTCTTCCCTCCGCACCCTCTCCCCCTATCCTCCCTTTGCCCGTGCCGCGCTCTTTTCGCCTCGTCCCCACCTCGCCACTCGCCCCACGCCCAGCTCCCCACTCCCCCTTTGTTTTTGGATCCGCCGCCCAGCAGCCATGTCGAACGCCAACAACACCCCCCTCCCCGCCCCGGCTAGCTACGGTGGCTTCACCTTCGAGAACACTCACCGGTAAGTGCACCCACGCCCCTCGCCTCCACAGGGACACCGCTCGGGGTCTCCTTTTCTCTCTCTCTCTCTCTCCCTGTGCACCAGGCAGAATAGTCTGCTGACAGCTCGCTTTTCTCCCTCCCGCCACTCCTCCTCTCAGCAATGCCCTCCTCACCCGGATGGGCTATGATGCCCCGAACGCCACCAAGACCGGTACCACCATTGCGGGCATTGTCTTCAAGGTATGTGGTTTCTCCCCCCGTCCCTCTCCTTTCTCCCCCTTCTCCCCCTGCCTTACCCATCGCTTACCCACGCCGTTCCCCCGCCTCCCCCCCCCCCCCCCCCCCCTCGCCCTTCTCTGTCTCTTGCCCTCTTTTCGAACACCAGGGCGGTGTCATGCTCGGTGCCGACACTCGCTCCACCTCCGGCTCGATCGTGGCCGACAAGAACTGCGAGAAGATCCACCGCATCTCGTCGAACATCTTCTGCTGTGGTGCCGGCACGGCCGCCGACACGGAGAATGTCACCGGCATGGTCGAGGCCAAGCTTCGACTCCATGAGCTCAAGACTGGCCGCAAGGCTCGCGTGGTCAACGCTCTGACCCTCCTCAAGCAGCACCTCTTCCGGTACGCCTCCTGCTTTTCCTCTCGCAAATGACTGCAACATGGCGGTGCCACCGGGGGGGGGGCTCACCATCGCACGGGACGTGGCTCTTGCCATCCCCCTTTCTCCTCACCCCCGCCCCATTTGCGTCCACTCACACGACAACATCAACAGCTACCAAGGCCACGTCTCGGCTGCCCTGGTCCTCGGTGGCGTGGATCACACGGGTCCCCGGCTGCACACGGTGGCCCCCCACGGCTCGACCGACACCCTTCCCTACGTGACCATGGGGTCCGGCTCGCTGGCTGCCATGTCCATCTTTGAGTCGCGCTGGAAGCCGGACATGAGCTTCGATGAGGCGGCCCAGCTGGTGGGCGATTCCATTCGCGCCGGTATCTTCCACGATCTGGGGTCCGGCTCGAATGTCGACTTGACTGCCATCTACCTCCAGGAGGATGGCACCGTGGCCGTGAAGATCATGCGCAACATCGACTGCCCCAACCCCAAGCCCGCCCCGGTGCTCAACTACAAGTACCCCACCGGCACTACTGGTACGTCTGCCGAGTCTCTTCCCCCCCCCCCCCCCCCCCCCCCCCCCCCCCCCCCCCCCCCCCCCCCCCCCCCCCCCCCCCCCACCCCCCCCCCCCCCCCCCCCCCCCTGCGTGGCCCACTCTCGAGACATGATATGCCTGCTTTCGGGCGGCGCAAAGGACGGCCGAAAGATGGCCCCTAGGCCCGGCATCCATTCGCCCCATCAGCCTCCTTCCAAAACTAACACCCTCCCCTTCCTTTGCTGCCCCACGCGCCATAGCTGTCCTTACCAAGGAGGTCAAGCCCTTCAGCCAGCTGGCCGAGGTGACCGCCATCTCGAGGACCATCTTCGAGAACAACGAGGACGATGATGCGGCCCCTCCTGCCGCCAGCGCACCTGTCCCGATGGACATCAACTAATTATTCGACCTTGTTCCTCCGCCCGCGGGCGCTGCCGCTGTTGTGATCGCGCTCCTCTCCCATCATCACATATCATGTCCGCCACCACAACAGCGCGAGGGCACCTCTCCTCTCCTGCCGCCTCGGGTGCCTGGAGTGTCGACCGCGAGATGTCCACAAACAGGCGGCCATATCTCCCTTTTCTATCTATCTCTCTCTGTGGGTGGGGCAATCGGAAAAGACCCTCCCATTTATCTGCCCTTCTCTCCCCCTCTCCCCTCTCCTCCTTCTCCTTGCGCGGACGAACGTATGCGCCAACGTGCGCCCTTCCCAATAAAAACGTGTAGCATATTCATCTATACTTCAGCTCATGTGTGTGTGCGCGCTTTTTCATGCATACGTGAGTCGACATGCCGAGGCCCGGCACATACATGGGAAGCTACAGGCGGAGGAGAAGGATCATCGTGTCCAAGCCGGGAGGGGGGGGGGGGAGGGGGGGAGCAAGGCACAAGGGAGGGGGAAGGAGTGGGATGACGGCGTCCAAGCAAAAGTAGACAACTAGCCGATCGGGACAGGCTCAACAAAGAGGAACCGGCGGTGTGATCTATGTACATGTGGGTGACAATCAGGTGATCCAAATCGCCATGCAGGCAAGCCATTTTGAGAAGACGCCCGCCTGGGTGTGAGAAAGCGGGGCAGATCGCCACTCGTGCAGCGGGTGCGGGGGGGGCACTGCTTGCCCAAACCCAGAGCCCCCCCCCCTCCCCACTGCGCCCCCCCCCCCCCCCCCCCACTTTCATCGCCCATTCCGCCTTCTCTGCCTCCTGCGTCTTTGGCGTCTCTATCATGACTGTTCCTAAGCGCCCGTCTCGGGGCGGCGCCGGGGGCCCGGCTCCCCGTCGGAGCCATCCCACATCCAGTCTCAGTCTCGATCGCTTTGCCAAGTTCGGCCAGTCGTCCTACCGCCGCGACCATGAGTCTACTGGTTCGTTTGGCGCATCAGCCTCGCCTCGCCTCGTGATTTGGCGCTCCCTTTTCCCTTTCCCTCTCCTCCTTCTCTCGTACCCTTGCTCGCGGGCATACGCCAGGCATCTGACCCATGATGACCAATGATGCACCTGACGCTGGTGTCGATATTGCCATCAGATGCGCACAAGTTCCGCCAGCGCCGCGTGTACGCCAGGGAGATCAAGTCCGCCGAGACGGAGAACTGGTTCGAGTCGGCCGTGTTCGATAGTGTGCGTGTGCAATGTGCTGCACCATCTGCCTGTCTTCCCTCCCCCCCATTTGCCCCTTCCCGTGGCGACAATCTCGTGTCTACTCCAGCCTCACCACCGCCACCGCCACCGCCACCGCCACCACTCCTCCCATAGGCCACCTCCCATGTGGAAGCTCCCCAAAAGACCAGTGCCGAGGAGGGTGATGCTCTGCGCAAGAAGAAGAAGAAGAACCAGAAGCTGTCGCGCTTCCACAAGGACATTGCGATTGCTGAGACCAAGAAGCAAGAGGTTGCGGAGCAGCGCGAGCGCGAGCTAACTGAGCGCGAGGAGCGCCGGGCCGCTCGCAGTGAGAAGATCCGCGAGCGTGAGCGCGCACGCAGCATTCATGCCAAGAAAACCCGCGGCGGCCAGCCGAAGCTCAGCAATCAGATCGGTCTGCTGCTGGAGAAGATTCAGCGCGACACTCCCCCCAAAAAGTAGAATGCGTGTGTGCTTTATGCGGCATCACGAAGAGTTGACCCGTGTGCCTGTTGCCCCCCCTCGCCCCCCCCCCCCCCCTAATAGAGGGGGAAAAGCCTGACAAAAATACATACAAAAATGCGCCACACTTGTTTCTTGGTTGGAAATGAGGTGAGGGAGACGGCCAAATGGAAAGGTGCTACTAAAAAAAGGGCTTTGTATATTGTAAGAAAACATTGTGGAGGGAGGGGAGGGAGGGGGGGGGGAGGGGGGGAGGGGAAGTATCGACCCTCTCCTTTTCGTTCCTTCTGCTTGAGGGAGAGGAGGAGGTGCGGATGGTGGTCGCGCCGCGGGGGACTTCAACTGTGGCAAGAAAAGACAAGGAACCTAAGAAGGGCGAGCAATTCGCCGGCGGAGGAGCGGGGAGGAGGAGGAAACGGCGGGCAAGAACACCCCCAAGGGCATACATCGGTGGGCGGGCGGCGATACGTGCACGGAGGCGAAGGCCCGCAACCATGGCCCGAGTGGCAAGGCCCCTCCCCACGGTCCTGGCTCCACTTACTCGTCGGAGGCGCCGTCCTCGGAGGTGGCCTTCTTGGCCTTCTTGGCGAAGCGACCACCATCACCACCGCGACCGCGCTTGAAGCCACCATGGCCGCTGTGGCGCTTGTCGCGCTGGCGCTGGTGGATGACGGTCCAGTAGTTGACATTGTCCTCGCCGACCAGGACAGCCAGGGTCGGGGTGGCGTCATCGATCTTGGGGTTGGTGGCCAGCAGGGCCTCCACGGCCTTAGCAGCCACACCGGACTCGGAGAAACGAATGTGCGCCTCGCTGCCACCACGGGTGTAGTCCACGAAGGCCACCGGAGCATGGGGCTCGAAGAGCTCGCGCAGAGACTCGCGGGTGGCAGACTCCGGCAGGCCGGTCACGCGGACGATGCAGTCCTCCTGGACGACAACGGCCTCGGCGGCGGCGGCGGCGGCCTGCTTGGAGCCCTTGGTGGCGCGCTCGCTGGCCTTCTCGGCCACGTGCGCGGCCTGGGTCATGGTAGACAGCTCGGCATCCTTGAAGGTGTGGGTCTTGGCCAGGAAGTGGTCGGCGGCAGCCGGGGAGGTGAACTCGATGTAGACGGACCCCTTGAACTGCTTGGTGGAGGGGTTGCGACGCATGCGGACAACGGCCACGGTGGGGCGAGTCTCGCCCTCGGCGACGGTCATGTCGCTGATGGAAGCCGCAGCGAACTCGAGGATCTCATCGAGGGAGGCCTCGGTGGAGAAGCCCTTGGCATAGACGGTGGCCGCGGAAATGGAGTCCTTGAGGGAGTCGGCATCGGGGAGGGCGTTGACGCGGCGGACGTTCTGGCGGTCCTCGGAGAGCTCAATCAGGCCGGAGGTGGTCTGGTGCCAGGGAGAGGGCCAATGGGTCAGGGGCGGGGGGGCG